GCTCAGTGAACGCCAGAGAGTCTGACATAAGAAAGGAATAGGTAAACAACAAGGAACCAAAAATGTCAAAGACTAAATGGAAGATCGGCAAATGTTGATTGACATTTCGATAGATAGGAATTTGTGGACAGGATTTGTGGCTACAATTTTTAGATTTAGATTTTGTTGTCTGGGTAGCAATTGGGCGGTACTATGTCCCAATCCTAATGAATATTAAGTAACTGGGCGCTGCACAGTAATCGACTGATAGCCCCACTTTGTAGCAGACAAATCTCTGTTAATTTCGAATAAACTCCTAACCTTATCTCAATAGCTAATAGAAAAGTACTTACTTAAGCGACGGTTAAGTTGCTGGACGTTTGCATATAACATAAGTATAATAATTTTGGAAAGATTTGAATACTGTTGGGCTCCCTGTGTTATTGTTACTAGCTTGTAAACCAAATATATGTTAGTTGATTGATTACATGGGGACTCAGATAGGGGACGCTTGTTGAATAAAAGGATACGTTAAAACCAACTTCACAAATTCCTCCTAGGGAATTGGAAACTAGATAATTTTTTATGCTTGCATTTGACTAGCCAATGAGAATCGTTGTGTGAGATGTCAATCAAGCTTCTGCTTGACGTCATCTCATTAAGTTTGTCGTTGCTGCTTAAGCGCAAGCAGCATAGTTGTAGTTCAGTTGAAGAAGTAACTGCTCAGGTGAAGTTGAGAGCAGTTCAGAGTTGGAAGCAGATTCAAAGACAGAAATAAAGAAAAGAAAGCCACGAAAAGCGACTCTCAAACCTAGGTGTCCGTGAGGAGAAGTAACTAACTCTTCCCCCACGACTTCTTCTTACGTGACAATATTTCCCTGTGTCTGTTGTCTGTGTCTGAGGCAGACCCACGAGCTAGCTTCGTCCCCGTATCCTTCCTCGATTTTCCAAAGTTTTTCTTTTTTTACTTGTCTTTTTTTTCTTCAAAAATGTTCTTGCCGAATTCGTTATAAAACGACGGCCTTTTTGTTTGCCGCTTTTTCGCACAATCCAAATATGGAATTGATCATACCATATATGGAGTGAGCTTTTTCTACTGCAACTTCTACTAACATATAGAGTAAAGCTTGATATGACCGATATTTACGATATCATGCTCAACCCCATCCAATAATGCATATCATTAGCATTGCTATTCAGTATTTTGTCCGGACAGGTGTCTTCTATTCAGCCTAAAACTGACAATAAAAATGCAGGTTCGATATGCTGAATTCCTAGTAGTAAAGTAATTAGTATAGGTAATAAAATTACATGACGTCCAATTTGAAAAATAATTGGATGAAAAAACTATCCGAGGACTGACAAAATTGGAAGAGGCCGATAGTTCAAGTCCAATTTGGCAGCCAGAGGAATGTTTTGAATTCAATTATATCATCCCAAACTATATTAGACTGATTCCATAAGTCATAGTTTTGCCTCGAAAGAATGCGAATGGAAACGACCCAAATTCATCTTTATTTTGGACACGTCACTGAGCTAGGAAAGAGAATTTGAAAATAATACAATAATTGCTTATATGGGATGATATACAATTAACCTAATTACTCACTTATAACTTACGGAATTCTTACCTGATCATAGGTAGCAGATTTTAATTTTTTGGAGGGAGGAAAACCAGAGATCCTGGAGAAAAACCCTCGTGGCAAGGGAGAGAACAACACATCCAACAAACTCAACTCACATGTTGATTTTTATGGAGGGAGGAAAACCAGAGAACCTAGAGAAAAACCCTCGTGGCAAGGGAGAGAACAACACATCAAACAAACTCAACTCACATGTTGATTTTTACAGAGGGAGGAAAACCAGAGAACCTGGAGAAAAACCCTCGTGGCAAGGGAGAGAACAACACATCAAACAAACTCAACTCATTTGATTTTTATGGAGGGAGGAAAACCAGAGAACCTGTAGAAATAACACGTCAATATTAAGTTAATAGATCTCTCGCACTATATGAAGCTCTCTCACACAAACATGAAATAAATAACGAACGCTATACATTGCATTAGGAGAAATATTTTAAGTTTAAAATGAATATTTTTATAGCGAAAAAAGGCTCAGCTTTGCTACTCGCTGGACGGTCATGTAAAGCAATCAAGGATGCTGGAGAAGCTGAAGGCGACGGCGAGTACTGGATCGATCCTGAAGGCACGGGAAAACCATTCACCGTCTTCTGTGATATGACAACTGACTCGGGTAAATCACAATTCAAAAGATGATGGTATTGATCATGATGATGAAGATGATGGTAGTGATGATGATGATGATGAGTCGAGGATGATGGTAGTGATGATGATGATGATGATGATGATGATGATGATGATGATGATGAGTCGAGGATGATGGTAGTCATGACGATGATGATTGTAGTGTTCGATGATGAAGATAATGGTAGTGATGATGAAGATGATGGTGTGGTGATGATGAAGATGATGGTAATGATGATGATGATGATGAGTCGAGAATGATGGTAGTCATGACGATGATGATTGTAGTGTTCGATGATGAAGATGATGGTAGTGATGATGAAGATGATGGTAGTGATGATGATGATGATGAGTCGAGGATGATGGCAGTCATGACGATGATGATGGTAGTGTTCGATGATGAAGATGATGGTAGTGATGATGAAGATGATGGTAGTGATGATGAAGATGATGGTAGTGATGATGAAGATGATGGTAATGATGATGAAGATGAGTCAAGGCAGTTTGGGGACAGAGGGGGCAAGGGGGCCAGGGCAACAAAATGGCGGCTTTTTACAATCCATATCAAACTTTCTCCCATTGTCGTTCGTTTGGCCAGCAACTTCATATCCATATTTGGTAAGCTTACCTTATTTGGAAATGAACCCAGTTTTCATTTTGGTGATTTTCCCGCCAATTAAAGCTTTAAAATAATGTTGAAAATATGAATTCAAAACTGCAGATATCACAGCGAAGAAATACCGATACGATATATAATTTTCATTTTTTTTTTATTTGGGCCTCACCCCCCCCCCCCCCCCCCCCCCCCCCCCCCCCCCCTAAGGTTGTTAGGATTTAGGTGCATGGGTGNGATACGATATATAATTTTCATTTTTTTTTTATTTTGGCCCCCCCCCCCCCCCCCCCCCCGCTTTCTGGCTACACCCCTAAGGTTGTTAGGATTTAGGTGCATGGGTGAATAGGTCCTGCGGTGGGTTGTTTTCATAACAGTTTTTCTTTCTAAAACACCATTTTAAGGAGGTTGGACTCTTGTCAAGAGAACAAAACTGCAAACAACCACTCCTTCTGCAGATAGAGTTGATATAGACGACTACAAAGGCATTACCAACTACACCAACAACCAAGTCTTCATCATTGTCCCCGCTATACAAAAGCTGGGAGACGTTATCGGATTCCATCAAGTTCGTTGGCGCTGCAGCAAGAAGAGCCTGGGACGAACCCTCCATATCATGACAACCAACGATTCCGCTGGTCACAATGTTCTCAYGCACTACTTACACAAGCCCACGCTCCAGCCACCTGCTTGCAACTCGTTTGTTAGGCTGCCAGATGACAATTCAATTTTGGCACAAAATTGCATGAAATGGGGAAACACCGGCTCCAGTGTCCAGGTCAACAAATGGGGACGATATTCCAACACTGGAAACTGGCGAATTTACAACAATGTTATAGTGTGGGAGTCGAAATATTACTTAACATTTATTTCAGGGAACTTTTACTGTGATGACTTTACTGGAAATTATGGTGCACTCAGCATTGGGGACCAATGGGAGCTGTTTGTTCGCTAAGGATGAATATTTAATTCACATCTAACACATCTAAGGACTGATATACAAGTCAGAGTTTATTCATAGAGTTGAAACTGTGCATGCGTTGGTATGCTGTTGGTGTGTTGAATGACACGAGTGAAAAAACGTCTGCGCATGCTCTGAATCCGTATGCAAATTAGCGAAAACATACGTAAATTTGACTTTCAAACATGTCTAATAAATTGGACCTCACAAAATGCTAAAACCATGTGTCCATGCTTGAAACTTTAGGCCAATTCTTTCATATTGTGTTTGTTAATACAGTATCTTGGTCTGACAAAAGTATACTTGCGAAATGTTTTGTATACTTGGAGAAAACAAACATTTATTTTCTCATTCAAACTCTTCTAAATTCCTAGAAAACGTGCTGAAATGCACGCATGCGCAAACGTTTTTGTCTAGTGCGTGTTGAATACAATACTCGAGTTTCGAGTTATCTTTTTCTTAGCCTTAGTCTCGGTTGTGCGTTAAAATATTCAGCCATTCGACCAAAACCCGTGGAATTTAAAATAAACTTGTACTGTTCCGTAGCGCGTACATTCCATACTACTGCTATAGAGACTTTGCACCATCACGCGATGGCAGCCGATGACAGAAGGCAGAAACAATTGAATCTGGTCTAATGTGCTTTATATGAGAAAGAATTCAGTTTCCCAAGGGAGAACGATTCTATTGTTGTGCCTTCTGCAATGGCTGCCATCACGTGATGGTGCAATCGGCCTCATACAAAGAACACATTTGAACACAATCTAGGCTAAGAACTGAGCAATTCTTCCGGTTTGCAATAGACGTCATAGCCGCCATGTTGGAAGAATTTGACAAAAGATTTTTCATTGAATTCTTTTGTTATAGCTTCCAACATGGCGGACATCCCTTTTGCTATTGTGCTCTCTTGGGATTGATTGCAAACCAAGAATGGCGAACTTGAAGTAGGAGAATTCAAGGAAACTTAAGCACCGTAAAAACTTTGTAGCTATAGAGTTAATTATGACGTTTTCACGCCGTAGATACATTTGTTTAGTTTTAAAAAGGACTGTGCCAATTAAACTCACGCTTTGAAGTTTCGTGGAGACTGCACGCATTTATAATGATCGAAGATAAACGATTTTTAAATGGAATTTTACAAAAGAAATATAATTTATGGAGGCATGCAAATTTGCTCGTTAGCATAAAATACAAACAACTAACAGATTCAAAAATTCATATTATCCTTTGGATTAGTCCGCCACAACCATTACAAACTTTACGATTTTACTAATGCCTATATATAAAAAAAACTTGATTATTATCAATATATTGATCTTTTTACTAATAAATCACACAAAAAACTGTATAGAATTAAAATGTGTTTGATTTTTTATATATCATAGAGCATTTTTGGTGTAAATGGACCTGGCGCTTCATATATATCGGTAATAAATCATCATCTAAGTAACAAATAATGTGGGTTTCCTGTGGTAGTTTATACGAAGGTCATGATTGGTTGAAATCGCTTATTAAGTAACTAGTGTTTTGATTGGTTGGATGCATGACCATGTGTTTGGATCACGTTCGACTGAGGAAGTGTTCAGCCATCTTGTTTGCGTCCAAGTCAGAGAAGAATATTGATATTTTCCCCCTCAAGGTATCTTCAATTATATTTGAAAAATACGCATTTCTAGCATCGTACAATAGTTTTAGATGTCTCCAGATTATTTTAGAGGCATTTCTTTATCTTAAATCCCTTGTTTTCTAGGTGGTTTTGGGTTTCAAATATGTCGGGAGATGGAAAGAAGAAGCTCTTTATCGGTGGTCTACCAAGCGAATGCGACGAAAAAGCTTTGGCAAGCGCTTTCTCTCGCTGGGAAACAGAAGACAGTAAGCCAAGACATGTTCATTGAGACTTTCTTTCCTCTAAATCTTTTTTTTTTCGCCTTTAAATGCTTTAACAAACATTTCTAATGGAAATAATATAAACTTTACAACAAAAGCTTGGTGTTCTTATCATTTAGTATTCTTGGGTATGATATTTTATATCTTTGCGAATCATTTAACTCAAAAATTATCCATCTGTTTTAATGTATGATTACTTAAGTCGATAGAACTTTGATTTAGTATTACATTTTACTTGTAGTCATAGTCGTGTATGACCGGGAGACGAGAAGAAGTAGAAACTTTGGTTACGTGACGTTTAGGGATGACAGAGACGCTTCTGACGCCATGAAGCAGATGGGTGGTGAGAGCGGCAAGGGAAAGGTAAAAAAAAAACACGATAGTCAGTACTGCAGTAGAACATTTTTTAAGTCCTTGGATAACAAGTACTTCGTAGAACATAATTGAATTAACAAATCTGTCACTGTGGTTAAATATTTGAAAAATTTGGTCACCCATTGGAAAGTACTTTTGGCCTTTGTTTATAATATGTAAAATAAGTATGAAATTATACTACTCAATGATTTTATTCTAAACTTTCATTTCACCTCTTGAGTCTGTTTTAATTCTTAATCTCAGTGTCACTTGTGAGTAGAGTTTGTTGGACCCCAAATAAATAAAAATAAATAGATAAAATGAGATAAATGGGATTTAGCAGTGGCATTTCCACAGAGTGGCTCTTCATCCACTGTAATTCCAATTGGAATTTAGAAATTGCGGAGGGAGGAAAACCGGGAGGAAAACCGGTGACAATGATAACTTTCTTGCATATTTGTTTTTAAAGGAAATTTTTGGGCGAGCCCTTAACATTGAATATGCTCAAGACAAGGAATCTGCTAGACCAGCTAGGCGTGGAGGAGGAGGAGGAGGGCCTAGAGGACCCCCAAGAGGTCCTCCAAGGGGACCCCCACCAGGAAGAGGACCCCCATTTGGTAGAGATATGTCATCAGGACGTGGCCCACCACCCAGGGGTGGACCCCCACCACCAGCTCCACGCCGAGGACCTATGCCACCAGAGAGGGATGGTCCTTACAATGGTTATGACAGATACGATAGGCCACCTCCTGATCGTAGACCTCCTCCTCCTGATCGCAGTGGATACCCACCCCAAAGGGATTATGAACGAGAGAGGCCACCCAGCTATGGGAGTGACAGAGGATATGCAGACAAGTATCCTCCCCCAGATAGGGGGTATTCAAGCAGTGATCGTGGCTATGGTCCTCCTGGTGGTGACCGGTATGGAAGTGAAAGAGCTGGCTACCCTGACAGATACAGCAGCACAGATCGATATCCCCCTGCTGACCACGGCTATGGTAGTGAACGAGGCTATGAAAGAAGTAGCTATGGAGCTAGTGGTGACAGAGGCTATGGTGCAAGCAGCGATAGAGGGTATGGGGCACCTTATGAACGTTCAAGCTATGGTCCACCTTCTTCTGGCGGCGGCGGCTATTCTGCAGGAGGTTAGTACACAGTTATAACCAGTATTGAAGACATTTTAAGAAACTTGCTTTAAACAGTCTCAACAAATTTAGATTTTAACAAGTACAGGCAAGCCAAGGGAAGGTGCATTCTTTATTGGGTGGGGGGAGCAGTGGGGGAATCAGAGTAAACATTCTTAGAATGGTTGTAGCCCTCCTCCGTTCACTCAGTAAAACCCTTCTATTAAGTGACTTCACGGCCTAAGTGATCCCCTTATTAATTCAACAAAGAAACAGCTTTTAAAACGGTTTGAGCCTCCACAAAAGCTCAAATGTTTACTAATGAGCCTTCCCTCTGAAGCTGAAGCCCTCCCTCAATAAAAAATGGTACCTTCTCCAAAGGTGTTTTCTTCAATCATATATTTGTATAGGAAATCGCATGATCTCGAGTACAATTAAGAATTTATAGGTAATATCACCAGTATCTATAAAATCCGAATTGTATGAGAACATTGTGCGATTTTTTGCTTATAATACACTCAACAAAATTGAGGAATTTAATTGGAACTCTACAGAGTACAATTTGAGATTTAATTGTACTCCTCTTGTCCAATCAGAATAGAGTAATTTTGTTGAGTGTGTTATAAACTTATATATTTATTTATGGTGTTACTATGTGGTGGTAAAGGCACTCCAGATTAACAGTCATATAGTTATTTCAAAAAGGTGCTCAGTGTTTGCTGAATGATTCTGTTCTGCTGTTTTGCTTGTTAGAAATCGTGATAAGAAATTGGGTTAAACAGTTCAGTCAAAACTACATTTACACCAAAGCAAAGAACTTATTCAAATTAAAGTTGACTCAAATCCGTGTCTCTCTTGCCTTCCGAAATGGAATCCGAATTGAGTTCATAAGATCTTAAATGGGAATACTCATTTATCCCGTAACAGTATTGCATATTCTGTACGAACATCCTGCTGATTCGTATCCTTTCTGCTGAAGATCCTACAAAGTCTTGTTGAGTAAACTTTGAATTTATAAGGGAGTACATGGCATGGTCAAATTGAACTAATGATGACATTGTTTTTTATCCATATCTTTCCTTTGTGCCTTAATACATTATTTTAAACTTTATTCGCCATCCATAGAATTAAATGTACAATCCAATCTGCGAAATCTTACTCACTTCAGAGAACATTCCCGAGGTTGTTACAGCATTTGTGAAATATTTGTATATCTTTTGCTCTGGTGTAAATGTAGTTGTAAGAAATACTAAGAGGAGTCCTTTATGCTGCTCTAGTGTCACCATAGCAATGTATAATACAGATTTAAAACCAACTGCCTCGTTGGTTCCCAATCTTGACTCGTTATTCACATCCCTGCACTGTCGTAAGCACCTTTGCCGTGGTCTAATTCCATTCATCAAGACTAAACTTTTCTAAACTGAGATTGCACTTAGAAATTAACAACCATTTGTGATGAATTGGACTGGTTCGGTTCTAACTACCTCCACGCAGCCATCTCTTAATTCTTATTCAGCGTGGAAGCCATTTCACCACTCACTTGGGAATATATATATTATGCAATACATTTTTGACAAGGGAACATGCACCACCTTGGCCTTGACCAAGAAATCCGCTATCCACAAAGTGCGATGGTGGGCTGTCATATCAGTCATTCAAACCATATCGATCACAACTGCCCTCTCATCTCTGTCGCTCTAGCTATAACTTTTAAGATAGAGCTTGGAGAGAGGGGTTAAAGGGTACTCCGTTGGCTGGGTACTCGTTGGAGATTCAATTCGATCCGTGAGTTAAGCCATGCCCTGACTTGGATCAGCCCAGAGATTATTTCAGGGTTCGATCTGCGAGTTAGCTGTGCTCTGACTTAGATCAGCCCAGAGGTTGTTTCAGGGGTCGATCTGCGAGTTGAGATGTTCCTTGACTTTGATCAGCCCAGATATTGTTCCAGAATTTGAAGTTCAACCTTTGAGCTGAAAGATCCAACCTCGTAAAACACGCACGATTCAACAAGATGATGTTTATTATTTTTATACGAATGAATTTGTTTGAATGGGTCTGTCGAATTGTATATTCTAACCATTGTTACCATTTTGTTCCGAAGGACGTAGCTGGTGATTGAGCCGTTTGCGGATCGATGTCGAAGCTCCTGTTCAGCACTCCAGCTTTCGACTCGATATTCTTATTGAAAAACATCTAGCGAAACTGGATCTTCATTGTTTCTAAGAAGTAGACTGTTTTATTCATTTGCGTGTCCGTATTAAAACAATAGACCTGACCACGAAACGATGGCTGCAAGTCGAGGATGGACTTGATACGATACAGTAAATGCATGAACATATTAAGTCCAAACTCGACTTGGAACAGTGTTTCGTGGTCACTCGAGCGAATTCAGAAAAGATGAGAAGCCAATGTAGTGTTTAATAGTTTTTATGACTTTATGTTATCCGGTAAGCCGGCCACTCACTAGTTTAATCGCTAGCTCTGATCTGTTCAGTGAATCCACTCGCATGAGTATTCATTCCCAGACCCAAGTCATTGGACGTTCCGTCTTCCCGATGAGTGCATTCTCCGTGACATTCTATGTCAGAAGCTGTCGTTGAAAGGCTTTCGAAGATGAGGATGAGCACCTTGGCAAGCATGCAGATTAGAGAGAAAAATATAAGGATTTTATTTTTGAGTTTTAGCTTAGTTCTTTTATGATTGTCTGTCTACCCAGCATTAATAAATAGTATGATATGGAATTAGTTAATTACTCATTTCGCTTATTCTGTTTCAATAAACCATTTGTTCGTATTTCGATTCTGAGGAATGCTTTTCTGTACCCGTGTTAATTTTAATGAAGCATCCAGGCGGTTCTGAATATAGGCGCGAAACGTTCCACAATATGCTTCCTTGCTTCGACGGTATTTCTTCTGGGTCTTCCGGTTTTCCTGTCTCGGCAACCGAACACCCTAAATTACAATTCGATCTGTGAGTCAGCCGTGCCCTGACTTAGATCAGTCCAGGGTTCAATCTGTGAGTTAACCATGCCCTGACTTAGATCAGCCCAGAGGTTGTTTCAGGGTTCGATCTGTGAATTAGCCGTGCCCTGACTTTGATCAGCCCAGAGGTTGTTTCAGGGTATCGATAAAATTTGCAGGATTTTAAGATGCAAATATATTGTATCTTGTTCTGTGATCTCTCGTCAGGCTAAAAAATGAAAATAAATTGCGGATACCAAACCACTTCAGTAAGACATCCGAGGAGCGTTTCCTTGTTGTCTATTAATTTTTTCGATTTTGGCGAAAGGTTTTTACAGTATTGTCGGAAAAAATCAACAATCAATGGAAGCTTATTTCTCTGATTCTGGATAAAATGAAATCGCCTGGATGCGTATTTTAATTGCATTTAATAACCGATTAAGGTGAGGGGCGTCGCCTTTTTTGATTAGCAGTGCTAAAAAAGCATGTACAACAATATGAAAGGACTGCGCTAATCATTTCAGCATACCCATCGCCATACCAGTTCCTCTGATCGTTGCGAACTTCCACTAAAGCTTTTGATGCCGCTTGTTAAGTCGGAATTGCAAGATTGTTAGCTGTATACAACTATTTTAGAAACTTCGGTTGGAGATCTGAAATCTGAGACCAAGTAGCATRCTTCAAACAATGTAGTTCCCTTTTAGATTGGAATACGAAGCACTACCTTTAAGTTAAAAAAGGGATTTTTCGCATTTTAGCCACAAAACATAGCACAAAAATCCCGTTCGTCTCTCATAATACACAAAATTACTCGTTTCTGATTCGACAAGAGGAGTACAATGAAATCCCAAATTGTACTCTGTAGAGTCCTAATTAAGTCGCTCAATTTTGTCGAGTGTATTATAAACAAAAAATCGCACAATCTTCTCGTACAAATCTGAATTTATAGATGCTGGTGATGTCTTTAAAGTTGTCAAATTGACCTCGCCTAAACGCTGTACTCGAGATCGTGCAATTTCCTATATATTTCAGATTTTGGGCTCCAACTTTTTTTGAAATAGATGTATCTTCGCATTCCTGTTTCCTAGTGAGCTGCGAAATCCGTTGAGTTTGAGCATGCGTACTACGAACGAAAAGCTACGTTACTACTGCGAGACTCAGTTCACGTTTGTTTCAAGTATCACAGGCAGTGACCATTGTCTGTCTCCGGCAAACTTGCGTCCGTTTAGTAATCGAGCACGTCGTCGGCGATCGTCCTCAAAACCCCTTTTGTTTTCTCTGAAACGCTTACTTTGCGAATTACTGGATTTTTTTTTTTTTATTTTTTTTTTACTGGATTTCGATCAGCTGATGAAAATCTCTGAATCGCATTTGCTTCAAATGGTGGTCAAACACTAACCACCATGCGATGTCAGCCAGAAAGAATTCTATTGAAAACTTGCAATTCAGCTGATGTACATTCCGCACGAGACAGGAAATGACGTCTAGTGAAAGCCAGCAGCTGCCGTAGACACGAGTGAAAAACTTCTGCGCATGCTCTGAATCTGTTTGCAAATTAGCCAAAACATGTAAATTTGACTTTCAAACATTCTTGATAAATTGGACTTCACAAAGTGCCAAAACGTAGTGTCCATGCTCGAAACTTAAGGCTATTTCTTTCACAGTATCTTGGTCTGACAAAAGTATGCTCGCGAAATGTTTTGTATACTTGGAGAAAACAAACATTTATTTTCTCAYTCAAACWCTTCAAAATTCTTAGAAAACGTGCTGAAATGCACGCATGCGCAAACGTTTTTCTCTAGTGTCGTTACCGTAAAGATATTTATCGTTTCATTTCAAGTCCAATGCAGTTCGATGCAAAAGCATTGAGAATATCGCCCGGCATTTGAAAACATTGAAACAAGGTAAGACATATAACATTGCAAGCCCTTAAATGGGATACTTCATGATAAGTTGAGCGATCATTTGCAAAACAGTGACACGCCGTTACTTTTGCTACAAAAATCCGGCAAGTCAAAGCCTTACGAGCAGGAACCTGTGCCGATTGAATGTTATGTATTACGTATAAAACTGCCGTGGGTTACAGACTTCCACTTCCACTTCCACTTCCACTTCCTATAAACCTAAAACCTGGGAGTACTGGAGCGAGAGACCTATGGATATTACGAAAGTCGCCCGAAAATGACAGTGTGTCTGCCACGTTGGCAATAGTGAGATGTTCTGAGCTAATGAAATTTCAATTTTTGTGATTTAAACAGGTAGACAAGTACACTTGAGATAATATGCTATATAGGGGTCAGATTTAATTCAATTATTGTGCCAATTGTGCCAGGCCTAAATAGCCTTTCCTGAGTTGCAGAATGCGTTGCATTATGGGGTGGTTTTAGGGCACACTATTACTTGTACAGTGAAACCCCTCTATACCAGACAGTGCAGGGACCGATAAAAATTTCCGGTTTAGCGGGGGTTCCGGTATACTGAGGTTTTTGCAAATTACTTTTGTTTTCGATTTGAATAGGTGCGATATCACACCTATTGAAAATTTGTTTGTGTCTAATCGTTTGGCGTCAGTATAAACAAACACGTAAACAAAAATTCAAGTAAAGATATCAATAATAAGATCAAAAACTAAGCAATTTTCTTAACTTTTTTTTCAAAAGAACGCCAAGAAGAAACATTCTAAATACGATCTGAACAAAATCCCCGGTAAAATGGACTGGGAATGACCCCAAAGCCATGTGACATGAAAAAACATGGCGGYCGCAACTTCGMGAAYCATTCGATCTTTAGTATTTCTCAACACTACTAAACCTTCCTTATGCATTCTGTTTGAACATTAATATTGAAAACAATTAGCTAGTCTTTATAATGTCTATTTGTGAACAACATTTACTATTTAAAGAAAATTCTCAATGATTTTGTGAGTTTAGAAGTTGTCTCTGTAGACTCAATCTATACACCCGCAAATACGCTAGTGACGGTAGTTCCGAAACAAAGGTACGTTCTTCCGGACTAGCGGGGTTGAATTCTATTGTCAAATAGCGTTTGGTACCGAAATTATCGTCCGCTTTCCGGAATAGAGAGGTTCCGGTTTACTGAGGTTTATTTTACAAAAGATATATGGAAAAAATTTCCGGACCAAAATTTTTGTCCGGTTTAGAGAGAATTCCGGTATACTGAGGGTCCGATATAGAGGGGTTTCACTGTATGGCGTCTTAGAGCAGTTTGCGCATGACCGTGAAAAAGTAGGTGCCGTATTCGTGCCGTGCCGCGACCGTGATGTTTTCTAGGATTTTGATTGGCGGATTTTTTACATGCGCAATGTGATTGGACTGGCAGTGCCGTGACCGTGTCCGCGCCGTGTCCGCGCCGTGTTTATGCCGTGTTCCGGGTATTTGATTTGAAGAGTAAATTCTCGTGCATTGTGATTGGTCTGGCGTATCCCTTGTCGTGCCACTACAGTGTTCTTGCCGTAAGCGTTTCACAGTCATGAAAACTGTTCTATGGAAACCTAAAATGCCGCTTCGGTTTTGAAGTTTCTCTTGTTTCTCGAAGCATAAAATGTCTACTTGTCAACTGATTAAGCGTCTTCAAAACATCCCCCATAATGCAACGCATTTCTAAGACGACGGAAAGACTAATAGACATGCTCGTATTCTTGAACATAGAGATCCGAGTGGGCTATACATTTTGGAGTACAACACCAATATCTAGGAGCAAAACTTAAAAATTCTGGAACTATGTTTATGTTTATTCTTCACTTGACTCTGAAGATGACTTCCGCTCAGGTTGTCAAAACGTCAGTCACATCAAACAGTCCTTCTCAGGATTACATCCACCCGGATGATCATAATACTTCGATTAACATTCATTCACCTGGGTTCAGACCGTTCTATACAATGTTTATGTTTGTTATATTTTTCTTGTTCCATTGAATTTTGATGTTTCGTTGTTGTAAGACATTTGAAGTACAAAATTTGCTATTACGAATGTGGAGGGCTGACGAAGTAAAATATGAACTGGAATCCACACTCAGGCCCCGTCCACACGTATCCGGAAGTTTTTGTATCCGCAATTTTTTTTTTGCGGATACGGGTTGCGTCCACACGTGTCCGGAAATTTTTGTATCCGTATCCGGAAATTTTCGAAAACGGTCTCCAAAATGGAAATTTTCGAAGACGGATAYGTGTGGACGGTCGTATCCGCAAATTTTCGAATACGATGACGTAAACACGATTTTGCGCATGCTCAATAGAAAAAACTATCCGTCAAATGGACTAGGCACTAGCGTGCATCGGGGCGGATAATGAAATTTCCGGATACGTGTGGACAGTGAAAACGATTCGAAAACGATTCGAATACGCTGCGTGTTGGACGCGAACATTTTCGTATCCGAAAATAAATATTTGCGGATGCAAAAATTTCCGGATACGTGTGGACGGGGTCTTACCATGTCGAGGGTTTCGATGTACGGAAGATGTTATTTAGATCACTTGGAATGAGCATTCGACATCCGATAAGTCTTCTCCAAAGGTCTTTGATTGGACCTTGGAGTTTCGGGCAGAGAAAATGAGAATTTGTTCAATGGTTACTGCTGGGAAATGAGAAATAGAATCGACAGCATAAGTATTCTTCAAAGGTCAGTATTTGGACTTTGGATTTCGGGCAGAAAAATTAATGAGATTCGTCCAATTTTGCATTGGGACCGTGAATAAAGGCGCTGAAATACGAGACACAAAAACGTCGAACTTGTCGCACAACATTGTTGCGGTGCAAGTTCGAAAACAATGTTGCTGGTTTTACATTCTATCTATCCAACTTGTCACGCAACAAAATCTATTGTTGCAAGTTGGGAAAACTTGTTGCGAAAAGTAGAACGTAGATCTTGAATTATGTAGCTTGTAGCCAATCAGCGTGCAGAATATCACCGTGATAGTCCCAACTTGCAACACTAGATTTTGTTGCGTTACAAGTTGGATAGATAGAATGTAAAACGAGCAACATTGTTTTCGAACTTGCACCGCAACAACGTTGCGCGACAAGTTGGACGTTTTTGTGTCTCGTTTTTCAGCGCCTTATGGTTACTGGGAAATAGTAGAAGATAGAATCGGCGGCATAGGTATTGTCCAAAGGTCATAACTTTGGACCTCATGGAGTTTCGCGCAGAGAAACTGAGAATTTTTTCTCCTTGCCTCATTGGGACCGTGATTAAAGGCGCGATTACAAGTGGACGTAGTCGTTGCAAAAAGTAGAAACGAATTCTACTTTTTGCAGTGATTGCTGCAACTTGTCTCGTAACATTTTTTCGAATTGCGCTGTAGGTTACACGCTGCAATGCTCCATGCAACTTGTGTCGTAACGCCGTTGCGATATACAGTCAATTCAAAAAATGTTGTCGTCGACCAGCTTAAGCCTACGCGACTGGACCGAAAGGAACTCTGGGTAGCAATCATTGAAGCCGAGTTGACTCCATAATTTTATCTGACTAGTTATGCCTGGTTTACAGCGCGAACCTTCGTAGGCGAGCGGGAAGTGTCGAAGGAGACTTTTTTTTTAATGCCTTCATATTTTCGAAATTGTGAATTGAATCATAACTACTTTGTTTTCCTTTCCCTAAACCCAAAGACATGCATTTGATGGATTGTTTCTGGCCAATATTATCTTATTACTAGCGGGAACAATAAATTCAAAACGAATATTTAACCGCTTCAGTGATTTTTACCCATATTCCTTTCGGTCCAGTCGCGTGGGCTTGAGCCGGTCGACGACAACGTTTTTTGAATTGACTGTATGCAAGCTGCAGAGAAAATTGCTTCGTGTAATCGCGCCTTTAGGTTACAGGGAAATGGGAAAAGTATCGACGACATAGGATTTCTCCAAGGTTCATAATTGGAGTAGTTTACAAAATTAATTTAAGAAATGGAATTGGATTCGATTCAGGGGACACTAGTTGCGACCGTGCAAATTTTACATAAGGCTTCTCTGCTATGGATATTCCGTCTATTGCAGGTCGATCGAAATTTGTGTATTTGCTACTGTTTTCCATAATCGATCCAGATTTTTTTTTAAAAAATCCTGAAAAATTAAAATATTTATATATATATAGAAAGTTCTACATGCGCATAGCGAACATCAAAGACTTTGATTCTCACAAAGGGAATTTTGCTCGTGTTCATCCTTTGTATTTTGAAAGATAATTCCTTAAGTAATGCTCCTAATAAGAACGATAGCGCTTTCTATTGTTCTGCGGCATATCGCTTGCCCCACATCAGAATATTTTGAGATTTTCTACTGGGGATGTATCAAGCTATGGAGAGATGTTTGTGAAAAAATATGAACTAAAAGTCGCTTCTTAAGACGCTTACTTTTGAGTTTAAGGTTTTCAACCAATCACAACACCCAAAAACAATAGAAAGAAAAAGCCTCAAATTTGTCATTTTCCCCACGTAGAATTTCTGTCGTATTGAAGCACAGAAGATTTATCACTAAAAG